ACTTTCAGAGTTTGCAGATTGTGGAGAAAGGAATCACTGCAATTGGGAATTTTGATCTCAAATCTGAGTCAATCATTAGATGTTCCTCTGTACAAGCTGGTCACTGAGAGTCTTTGCATCTGTGGTATAGACTGGCAGCTTCTGGAGTGCCTTTTAGGCTGTGCTATTTGTGTGTGTGTGTGTGTGTGTGTGTGTGTGTGTGCACATACTCATTTTTAAGGGTTTATAGGCATTTTTTGGTTCTTTCCTTAATGTGCTAGTCCTGTGCCCAAGTTGGCAGTCACGTGGAAAATTTATCTGCTGATTTTTACCCCTTAACATGAAAATAAAAGTTGTCCAGTTCCAAGGAAACAGTCCCTTTAGTGTGTATACCCATCATAACCCCCCGAAGATGTCGATGAAGAGTCTTTATTCACTCTGCAGAACGTTCTATGTCCCAGGCCATCTCCCGAACTCTGGAGGTGAAGAGAATGCCTGACCTGTTTTTAAGAAGGAAAGAGAGTGCCCAGGAGTGATGTGGGAACCTGGGTCAGAGGAGGAAAGCTTGGCTAGTAGGAAGAAGGGATGAAAGTGTTGGGAATGTGGATGGGAGAAGGAGTGATGTTTAGACAGCTGTGAAAGGTGTCTGGGGCTTGCTGATGATGCTTTTTCTTTTTGGCTTTGAGATATCTTTGCCCCCTCTCCCTCTGTAAGCTGGCCTAAACTACTAATGTAAAGGTAAACTTTTCAGGTATGGCTTTGAGGTGTGGTCATAAATTTTCATTGTTGGCAAGAGTGCTTTCAGCTGCTCAGAAAGAGCAATTAGTCTCTTAATACTGCTTTAGGAAGCTTGGTTAGGATGTTTCCTCTGGAAGAAGTTATTTTTGATGATGTTGATATCATGAAGAAATCCAACATTAAGAAAGTCTGGGGGTGGGTGGGGGGAGATGCTCAGGAGCAGCAGAGGCACAGAAGGCAGCTGTTCCTCCAAGCACTGTGTTTCCTGTTCGCTGTGTTCAGAAGAGAGCAGCTGCTTGCTTTTTAGCACTCTGCCCCGCCACCCCCACCTGTGAGTAAGCCAGTGCCAGACAGCCACTCCCTCCCTGCCAGTTATGACCTAGATGTTCCTCACTGTGATGAGAATATCAGACTCTGGGGGCTGCTATCCAGACATGCTGGCATTTGCCAAAAGGTGAAACAGTGACAGCTTATGTTACTGCAAAGCTCAGAAAGGCAACCTAGGTCTTCGATAATGGATGTTATATAAAATACCGCCTTACTACAGCCTTCTGCTTATTGTTTGTCATTGGGCATTTGATGGCCCAAGCCGATTAATTTGAGACTTGGATGAAAAAGTATTGCCTATTGGACTTTTTCAAGGGTGCCAGGTGACTACTTTAAAGGAGAGTCCAGAGAGTCTATCCTCCAAACCTATCTTTGGGAGTTAAGAACTGACAGGAAAAAGCAGTGGAAACAAAAGCCCCCCTTTTCTCTGGAGGCTATCAAAATGGTGGCTGCTCTGGGAGAGACTGTACAGCATTTCATTCTGCTTCCCTGGAGAACCTCTGATACGCTGGCTCTCTGATTCACTTACTCTTGTCTCCAGGTATTTGTCAAGGCTTTCTTCCTCTCTTAAAGGACAGCCTTTTCACTTTCAGGGCCTTTGTCCATGTGACTTTCATTATCTTTTGGTCTCTATCTATCCCTAAATGGTTTGTTGTGATGAATAAGAATGACATAAGAGGGAGTAAAAGAAGGAATGAAAAAGCACTTTCTCTATGGTAGGAAAGTGGTTGATATTCCTTGATATCTGACTCTTTTAGAGATGTATTTTATTTGCTAGTTCCTGGCCAACCCTCTGAAGTGGCATTGATGCTTCTTTTTGACCTGAGGGAATAGCAGGAAAACCTGCGGGTCTGGTGGGCTTGGGCAGCCACAGGTGGGGGCCACCACGGTGCACAGGTGTGGAGAAGAGCACAGCTGTGGGGGGAGCTGCTTGGACAGACCATGAAAGACACTCTCCCAGCTGTATTTTCTTCATTGTTTTATGTACTTTTTGCTATTTTTCTGTTAACCATTTTGACATTGAATGAAGCCTCGTGGTTCTCTCTGTTCTGCTTATTACATTGTCTGCAATGCTGAATTGTAATAAAAATGATATGATCAAACCAGATTTCATCTTATTTCCCTTAGAGAGAGAGAAAAGGGAAAGGAGAGGTATTATTACCATATTTTTGTCTTGATAGAACAGCATGAATTATACAGTGTACATGTTTCTCATTATAACTTTTAAACCACCTAAATGAATGCCTTTGAGTTACTTTTATTATAATTTTATTCATTTGTCTGGAGCACATAGATCAATTAATTACATGGTAAATTTGATAGTAATTGGCTGACAGGAGTGTTGGTGATGTCTGAAGAACAAACCTAGGCTTTTCTATTCCAGACTAGCGTTTCTTAGCTAGTAATAATAGCACTATTATTTATCAATCTTAGCCTGGGTTCTGGCTACTTCATTTTATGCAACATCACAGTTAATCTACTTACAGTTCATGCAACATCAAAGTAATTCCATGTAGCAGGTACCGATATCATCTTCATTTTTCTGATGTGAAAACTGAAGCTCAGATCTTTTCTTTCTTTCATGGCTCTAGAGGAGGGCGTGGCAAACTCTTTCCATAGAAGACAAGAAAGTAAATATAATAATCTTCAGGCCACGCTATCTCTTTCACAAATACTCAGCTCTGTTGTAAAGTTAGAGAAACAATCGAAAGTATAAAAACAAATGAGGGTGGCTGTGTACCAATAAAACTTTATTTATAGACACTGATACTTGAATGTCATAAATTATTCTTTTGATATTTTTCAAGCATTAAAAAGTGTTAAAATCATTCTTTGATTTCAGGCTGTACAAAAACAGGTGGTGGGCCAGATTTGCCAATCTCCTGATGCGGACGATAGAATATGCCGGAGAGGAGGAATGGGTTAGGATGGGGTGGTAGAAAGGACACTTCTGCCAGAGGGAACAGCATGTGTGCAAGTAGCAGAGAGCATGAAGTATAAGAATAAATGCAATCAATGCAAGTAGTTTGATACACTACGTAGCAAGATAAGAGGAGACAGCACAGCCCAGGTCATGAGCTTATAGGACATTTTAAGGATTTTAGTATTAGTGGGAAGGCATTAAAAGTATTAAAGAATGACGAGGTTAGTTTGTCCTTTTAAAAGATCATTGGCTGATGTATGGAGAAAGGATCTCAGTGGGTTATTGAGAGTAGAAGCAGAAAAAATAGTTTTGAGATGTGGGCCAGGCTGGTGTTGATGGTGGCTATTGGTGACTATAGCCAGACCATTTCCTGACATTTTCTAGCAGCCAGGATGATCACTTTTGCATATGAGGAAAATGTGGCTGCGAGAGATGAATGTCTTGTCTGGCTACATAGCAAATGTGGGTAGAGCAAAGATGAAGACCCTGGTGGCATTCTTAACATTCTCAAATGAAAATTATGTTTATCCTAATTTACCATTTATCTCTGAATCCAACAACTGAAGAGCTACTCCCCTCTCTCTCTCATAAAATGCTCGTATATGAGGATAGTGCTCCTTGGATTTGAATTGTTAATTTTCATTTCCTGGGGAAATTAATTTTGTTGTTTAGGGAAATAACCCCTTGTTCAAGTAATAAAAAGGCCAAAGATGATACTGTAGTAATGGTTTTATGCTATTTTTGTGCTGGCATTAAAACGGTTGCTGAATACTTAATACACAGCATTTCTTAAAATTTGTGTAGCCCTCTTTCCCAAATAAGAATTGGTACCTTCTCTTCTACCTTTGGAGGAATGATTTATCTGCCTGGGTACTCAGAGTCAAGCTCTGATTCTGACACTGGCATGCATCTCTGGACCAAAGCACGCCATCTTTTGAACAATATGATGATGAAGGATTGGAGTCTGTTTCTATGGGGTCCAGGACTGGGGATGGGGAAGTGAGGAGGAGGGGAAGGCAAGACTCATGCCTTGGGGTAGAGGGATGATGATGATTTTGCCTGAGCCCCAGAGGCAGTGGTGGGTATATTGACCCTTGGTTGGGATAGGAGAAGGAGAACTGCAGAAAGATTTTGGTTTGTGGGATCCAATGATGGTAACTGCTCAGCGAATCTTCTGGTGTATCATTCAGATATTCTCTAATATTACTGTTATTTGTCACTTTATATTCCTTTCTCATTATAAAGGAAGGTCTGTGAGGTCTGGGTCTGTGTCTCAGGCATCTCCTCCTATCCCACAATATACAGTGTATTGCACATAGTAGGTCCTCGGTATTGAATATTGGCTCTGTTGACTTGTCACCTTAGGCATCCATACTGCACAGTGCGACCTCTTCTCTCATCAGAATTTGCTAATCTAACATCATCATAAAGAAGACACTTGAGACCTCCTGAAAATAGGACAAATTTTAGGAGTAAGCAGTGGGTGAGAACTGGACTTCCACTGAGGATCTTCTCCCATTATGCAACTTTTGTTGCCCACTTCTTTTCTTCACCCCATTTCATTAGATTAGTTACATGTCTTTATTGTTGCATATATCAATAGATATATACTGAGCTAATTCTGATACTGATTTTATTTATTCTCCATAGGCCCTTTACGTACTCATGCAGGTATTAGGGGTGAGGCTGAAGTTGAAAGTTCACAGATTTTGATGCACTCTCTCCCTCCTCTTCCTTTATTCAATAGTTATTAAATATTGATTATGTGTCAGGCACTGGGTTAAGTTCTAGAGGACAACGACAAAGGAAGATACAGTATCTGGTTTCAAATACATTTCAGTCTAGTGGAGAAATAAAAGGAAATAGTGGACACTTGGTATGAGGTGTAGGCAGCCAGTGAGGATCTCTCCCTGACTTGGTAGATCTAGGACCTTTCCGAGGCCATTGCCTGCTGAATTTTTTTTTACTAGAGCATCTGTGCAGTCGTGGATGAGTTAACAAGTTCTGCACTTGCCTTTCTCCATTTGTGCAGGGTGGAGATGTCTGCCGAGAGGTTAATTTCTAACAGAACATTTCATCAATCTGTACCTAATTCCGATTACACCTGGGAATATGAGTATTATGAGATTGGACCAGTTTCCTTTGAAGGACTGAAGGCTCATAAATGTAAGTCTTATACAATTCTTCATTGTAAGCATAATATGTATTTGTCTTGACCTGTAAAATCCCCAGGAATTACTTTTCCTGAACGTTCTTTTTACGGAACTCTGTCCTTGACCCCTGCAAACCCCAGAAAACGCCCACTCCAAACATAGGCTGATTGTTCAGGGATGGTGTTACATGAGGGCCTTGGTGATTCTGGGTGACAAAGGGTTTGAAAGCTTCCCTTAGTGGGGGAACATGAATCAATGTCATTCTCAAATTGAGATATTTTGTTAAAGCATTGACAATTCCAGCTCTCCCAAATTGTGTGAACATTTGGACTATCAAAAATGTGACAGAAGTATAATCTGGAACTATTAACTGAAGAACCTTCTTTTGTAGCACACACTCAGCAGCATCCTTTCAGCTCCATTGGTTTTCTGAAACTGCGGAGAGCGGTCTGTCTGTGTGTGTCATAATGATTGACAAGAAGAGCCCATGATTATTCCTAACTGTGTGGCAGAGGCATGAATTGTGTTTCATGTTATTGGAGGGATTAATGATCTGGCACAGAGCAAGGAAATATAATTCTGTGAAAGGTCAGCGTTCAACTCCAGTCATAACTGAATAGTGACTGGCTAGCATGAAGCATCTTTGTTTTCTTAAGTAGAATTGACATAATAAGCAGGGACTGCTGGCCGCTCCCAGGTCCTGTCATGGCTACCCCATAAATATTTCAGAGAGGCTTGGTTGTTTCAAAGTGAGTATCCTCAGCACTACCAAGACTTGAGGTTCGTAACTGGTTCAGGTTAAGGGGACACATTAGGAAATATAGGAGAGATTAGAACTGGAGATGCAGATGCGACAAAGGAAATGCTTTTGCTCTTTTAGTATCCCCTGGCCGCTACCACTCTGACTTGTCTTGGATTTCACAGTCCTTCACATCCACTTGCTGCTTCCTTGCAAAGAGGACTTTCTTTTATTTCTTTCAAGTTTATTGAGGTATAATTGACAAAATTGGAATATATTTAAAGTATACAAAGTGAGGATTTGATGTATGTATACATTATGAAAGGATTAATTAACATATTGATCACGTCAGGTATTTCTGTTCCTTTACTTATTTATTGGTGAGAACATGTAAGTTCTACTCTCTTGCAAATTTCAATTATACAGTATAGTATTGTACTATACTCACCATGTTATACACTAGGTCCTTAGACTTTATTCATTTTTATAACTGAAAGTTTGTACCCTTTTACCAACATCTCCCTATTTCCCCCACCCCTCAGCCCCTGGTAAACAATTTTCTAGTCTGTTACTACAAGTTCAATTTTTTTTTTTTTAGATTTCACGTATAAGTGATACCATGCTATATTTGTCTTTTTCTGTCTGGCTTATTTCACTTGGTATAATGCCCAACACAGGCTCATCCATGTTGTTATAAAGGACATCATTTCCTTCTTCTGAATAATATTTCATATTGTATGTGTATCACATTTTCTTGATTCATTCACCCATTGATGGACACTTCAGGTTGTTTTCCTACTTCGGCTATTGTGAATAATGCTGCAATGAACATGAAAATATGAATATCCTCTTCAAGATAGTGGTTTCCTTTGGATATATGCCCAGAAGTAGAATTCTGATCACATAGTAGTTCTGTTTGTAATTTCTCGAGGAAACTCCATACTGGTTTTCCCAGTGCCTGTACCAGTTTACATTCCTACCAACACCAACAGTGGACGAGGGTTCCCTTTTCTCTCTATCCTCACCAACATTTGTTATTGCTCGTGTTTTTGATAATAGATATTCTAATAGGTATGAAGTGATAATCTCATTGTGGTTTTCATTTGTGTTTCCCTGATAATTAGTGGTGTTGAGCACCTTTCCATGTGCCTGTTGGCCATTTGGATGCCTTTGGGAAAATGTCTATTCAGGTCTTTTGCCCATTTTTTAATTGTATTTTTTTGCTATTGAATTGTATGAGTTCCTTGAATATTTTGGATATTAACCCTTTATCAGATATGTGGTTTGCCAATATTTTCTTCCATTCCACAGGTTGTCTTTCATTTTGTCGATGGTTTACTTTGCTGTGCAGAAGTCTTTTAATTTGATGTAGTCCCATTTGTTTGTTTTTGCTTTTGTTGCCTTTGCTTTTGGTGTCAAATCCAAAAAATAACCTCTAAGACTTATGTCAATGAGCTTACCCCTATGTTTATGACCACTGTTTTGAATTCTATCAGCAACTTATTTTTATTTCAATAAGATCTGTTTCTGGAGATTTATCTTGTTCCTTTGTTTGAAACACATTCCTCCTTTTCTTTGTTTTCCTTGACTCTCTGTGTTGGTTTCTGTGCATTAGATAAAACAGCCACTGTTCCTAGTCTTGACAGAGTGGGCTTGTGTAGGAGATGGACCTTGACACTCAGCCAGGCCTGAGCTCCTTGTTGTCTCTCATATTGTTATGATTTTCCAAGCAACCATCTTTGTTCTTAGTGGTTCTCAGTAGTTGATGATATGTAAAGACTGTCCATGTCCCAAAGAGGAGGTTCATGATCAGCACCTAGATACAGTCTTATTAGAAGCCAGATCCTCAGAGAGCAGCTGAAAAGTATGTAGTTAAACCCCTTCCAGGGAGAAACTGGGGGACGGGCTTTTTGTCTACTCCCTCTGTGCTGGGCCTGGTGAGTAGCCATGAAGGGGTGTTCCTGTGCTTGTTAAGAACTGCTTCTTTGTTTATTACAGTCCTGTGGGACTCATGAATATAAACCCCATCGCATATCAGAGGCAGGAGCTGGGAGGCCTGTCCCTTGGGTAGCCGCTGCAAAAGCTAGGCCACCTGACTTGTGTACAACCTCCTTTCAGGGAGATACCGGTGACTTGGTTTTATTATTGGAGTGGGGTGAAGGGAGAAGGCCGGGGAGATGTCCAATAGCTTCACTGATCTCTGGAAAGGATCACCAGCCCCTAAATGCCTGCTAAATTAGAAGCCTGGCCTTCAGGCAGCATCTTTTAAGGTAAGCAGATAAATCTTTTTAAAGAAAGACTGGGAGAATGGTGTTTTTGCCTGTTCCCTCTGCACTGAGCCCTGAGGGGCTAGCCATGGTAAGGACTTGTAACCCCATTAAGAACTACTTCTTTGTTTGCTATATAATCTTGGAGTTCTCATGGATGCAAGCCCTGTTGATTTTCAGAGCTAGATGTTTTGGGGCCCCACCTCTCAAGTGGGAGTCTTAAAAATTGGGGCTCTAGATGTACAATCCAAACCCTTTCCTCCTCAGGGAGAAGATGGAAGTTGGGGGTTCCCTCCCAATTGTATATTGCTGTGCTGGGAGCAGGTTTATGGCAAGAGTATGTCTCAGCCTTTCCCACTCATTTAGATGTGGATATTTTCTCATTTGCCAGATACATAGGAGTCACTCAGCTTGTGCCTGGATCTCTTTCAGAGGGAATCGTTCCACATACAGCCATATATTTGTTGTGTCCATAGGAGAAATGGAACTCAGGAGACTCCTAAATTTCTCTCTTGGTCAACTCCCCATTTCAGTTACTTAAGTGGTTTAGCCTTTGTCTCACTTCCCTGTTGTAGGAAAGGTCATAACAGCCCAGGCATCATGTGTGGGTCCTAAGGGCTCAGATGCCACTTTTTGCTGGTGGCTGTATTAGAACATTTGACTAGGAAATTAGAGGGATGGAGGCAGGGATACTCCTGCTGGTTCCTACCTTCTGGTCTCTACCAATGGGTCTGTAAAGGGCTTTGGAATTACTTATTTCTTCTATAGAGGACTTTCTATTTTTGTGCCTTAAAAAACCATTAATTAAGCTGCATATCCTTTACCTCGGAAGTGAATAGTAATAATTAAATGCTTTCACTTATTCCTTTATTCATGTCTGCTCGGTACTTTGTGGAAATAAAAAAAAAGGCACACGGGATCCATAAGGATATGCTATCATTGATTATCTGATGGAAGACTGTTACGGACAGAATGTAAAATTACTCTCTTTAATTTAATTCTTTGATCTGCTCTTTTTCTAGGACAATTTAAGTAAAGACACTGCTTATTAATAATTTTAGTGGAAATCAAAATGGCTGGGCAAATTGCCATGTATTTCCCTTTAATATAGGCTTTTACACCTTGGAAACACATTTTATTTTTTGTGTCAGTTTGCTTTTGCCCCTTTTCCTTAGTTTAAGTGGCAAAGAAGACATACATGCTATTGTAATTTTGGTTGGAACATTTCCAGAGACAATTTAAAATCTTTTTTTAAAAAAGCATTTTATTTACTTATTTATTTTAAAACTTTAAAAATTAAATTTATTGGAGTGACATTGGTTGATAAAATCATATAGTTTTAAAGTGCACAATTCAATAATATATCTTCTATATATTGCATTGTGTGTTCACCACCCAACATCACATTTTCTGACACCATATATTTGCCCCCTTTACCCTTATCTACCTCCTCCCCCCAAACCCCCTTTCCTTCTGGTAGCCACTAAACTGTTGTCTGTGTCTATGAGTTTTTGTTTGCTTGAAAAATCTTTTAGAAGTACATTATATTCTGGAAATGATTATAACTTGAAAAAATTTCTGCAAAAGACAGGCAGAAGTGTGACACATCACAGACTTACTTTACCTACTGTACCACTAATAAAGAATGCTTTTGTGAGTTTTAACATTCACATCAGGAAAAAACCAAAAATCTCTAGGTGAGTCTTTACTGTTCTGATGTAAGAGATCTGATTAAAGAAGAGGCCCTTAGCTTGACAATATATGAGACAGAAAAGAATTAAAAATTTTTTTAAATCCCCCATACATACAGGAAAATAAAAAAGATGGTCACTATTGTGCTATGTACATTGAGGTAGGCTCTTTCATTTTAAAATGCTGTGATTCTGACCTTCAAGTGTAGCCCTTTGTTTTGCTGAGCAAAATTCAAAGCCGTTTGGGTACAGGTACAAAAGAATAGCAGCAATACATTTCAAGGTCAGGATAGGAATGACCGTAGCAGTTATCTTC